TGAGTCCTTCCGAAGAAATAAGTTATTTCAATTCATTAATTAAAAGGAATTAAATTTTCTGTCAATTTGTGTTCTAAAAAATCAAGGCGCCAAATCAGAAGAAACAATACATGTATAATCTTTTTCCATTTCCTTGCCAATAGCAGGGTGATGAGTATCTGATAAGCTTGTCCAAGTCAGCTGTCAAGAGATATACAGTAATTCATATAAAATGCTACTTTGCATTTGCATTCTCTAACAGGGAGCAATACAGATGGAAGATAGGCAAATATGTATTACAAGCACTTACGTAAGATGCCAGAAAAACAACCACCCCTATACTTAGTCCTGTCATTAATGCTGGGTGGTGAACGAGGGCAAAGAAAGCCCTCACCATTAGCTACATTCTTTTACTCACACTTAAGAAAATGGGCTCCATGTTAATGGAGCATGAGCAACGCAGCACGAGCAGCTAAACACCTCAAGAGTTAAGAAAGTGAAAAGTGGGCCGGCCCCGTGCCTTACTGGTTAAGTGCGTGCGCTCCGCTACTGGCGGCCCGGGTTTGGATCCCGGGCATGCACTGATGCACCGCTTCCCCGGCCATGCTGAGGCCATGTCCCACATACAGCAACTAGAAGGATGTGCAACTATGACATACAACTATCTACTGGGGCTTTGGGGGGAAAAAAAGGAGGAGGATTGGCAATAGATGTTAGCGCGGAGCCGGTCTTCCTCAGCAAAAAGAGGAGGATTAGCATGGATGTTAGCTCAGGGCTGATCTTCCTCACAAAAAAAAAAAAGAAGAAAGTGAAAAGTTATTAGTCTAACTAATTCTCGCTTCATCATCAATTTCTAGTCAGTCACTTTATCCTGGTGATTTTTCCATAAAATAATATCTCTACCTTCCTTTTCATTCTACTCACCAAACTCCGGCCTGATTTATTAACACCATTTTCTAGGGACTCTCCCAGCTTCTAGTTTCTTATCTCACCAAATCCTTTTGCTCACCATTACGAGCTCAGCTATCCTTAAATACATACTCACTAGCTCAAAACCATCCATAGGTAACTCTTACTTCCACAACCCCTGTTCTAGAATTCCTACCTCCTTGACTTTGTTCAAGTTGTTTCCCAATTTGAAAGGCCCACCCTGCCTATTTTGATCCCTCCCACCATCTGTCTCTCTTGCTCATTCCTAAAGTGCAGAGGGTTGAGCTAATCATATTCTTCAACTCATGGCTCAAAATCAAAGCCGATCCCTGCCATGTTCTTTTACCTCAACATATAATAAATAATACAAGAACATTTCCAAGACCTAAGGGGCATAAACAGCTATATAGAAAGAGTTCACTGCATAGCTAGCCCAGGGAAGGAAAAGAAACCCGTAACAGGCAAGCAAGCAAACAAACAAACAAAAAACACCTTTAAATTTTCAGGAAATCGAAGATAAGGAAAATACTCTGAAAGCTTCTGGGGAGAGAGGGAAAGGGGGCACAACATAGCAAAATACACTAGAAACCAGAAGTCAAGTGAAGCCATAACAATTTAGAGTTGAATTTTTCTCAACCTAGAATTCTATAACTAGTCAGTTTGAGGGTTGAATAAAGACATTTTAAGATACCAAATGTCTCAAAAATTTTACCTCTCACCTTTTCACAGAAAGCTATTTTGAGGACATACTCCACCCAAACAAGGAAGTAAAACAAGCAAGAGGAAAACCTGGGAGCCAAGAAATAGGCACTCCACCACAGAGGAGGCAACAAAGTCCCCTGAGATGGCAAGGGGAGACCTCAGGGTGATGGGGAATGCAGCACACTCAGAGAATAACCAGTCTAGAGTGGAGCCGAAACACACAAGACTCCTATATATTAAGTATACTATATTATATACTATCTACTATATTAATAGAATTTACTTCATAGAAAATTATACTGAGAGGATGTTTGACAGCATAATAAGACCTGGTAGTGCTAGGTAAAAACAGAAAACTAAGGAAATAAAAACAAAGCAATTATCTCAGGAAAAGCAAAAGGTTGTACAAGAAAGCAAAAGTAATTATATTATAGTATATTATTTGGTACAGCAGGGAACAAAATCATTTAAACACTGAATACTGATTCAGCCAAAAAACATTCAAATAGCTATAGTGGGAAGATATGAAGTAGGAAGGAGGGAGATAATAAAAGATCTAAATCCTTCTCTACAACACCTGAAGTGAACAGACAGCTAACACTGAAGTAGCAGGAGACAGCAGCACAAGCATATGGTAAGAGACAGTTGTAAGAACTGAAAACTCTAAATGGGGTACAGAGAGGAGTTGGAGTGGGTGGAGGCAGGGAACTAACACTTCTGTAAGCCTTTTAGCAATTCTTTTAAATAAAAAAAAATTTACATGCATTTATCTCTTGGATTTTTTAAAAATTAGATTCAATATATTAAAAATAAATCAAAATAAAACAACAAACAACAGCTACCAGGATGTGACAAAACAGGCACTCTCACAGTCTCATATACCTCTGGAAGTGATTTTAGGAAAAAAAATTGGGGACATCTTTTAATATCTATCCAAAAAAAGTTAAAACACTTTTATTCAAATATTTTATTCATACATTACACAAACTATAAAGTATGAATAATAATAAAACACCCACAAAGTACCTAGCACTCAGCTAAGAAATGAAATGCCACTGTCTCTGTGAAATTCTCATGTACCCTTCCCCTAATTACATCCCTCTCCTCTATCAACGAGTTTCAATGTACATACTCTTTTATCCAGCAATTCCACTGCTAGAAATTTACCCCACAGATAGACTTGCAAAAGAATGCCAATATGTCTAAGCCTGGAAACAATATGAATGTTCATTAAGAAGAGACTAAATTACAGAACTGCCAAATGACAATACATGAAGCTGTTTTTTCTCTACTTGAATTGTTATAGTGTACATTTATTACTTTTATTTAAGTGGGTAAAGTTAATATCATTCATGTAGATCAGCTATGGAAAAAAGTGTTCATTTTCTTCTTTCCTCTAAAGTCCTATAGCACTTAAAGGGTGGGTACCCAACAATTTAAACAATATACACTGTCTGCCTCATGTTAAATAGCATTTCACGTGCATATATTCTCTTCCCAAATAAAACTACTAGCTTCTTGCAGGCCTTTCTCTTAGGTTTCTTATTCCACATAGCACTCGACACAGAGCTACTTACCTAGCACAATAAACACCTTGCAAAATTATTATGTGTTAATTGTAAAAAATTCAAATATTCTCTAAAATTAAAGTTCTCTGGGGATCTCGAGTCAAGATGGCGGCGTAAGCAGACTCGGAACTCACCTCCTCCCGTGGACACAGCCAATTTACAACTACTCGTGGAAAAATTACCCCTGAGACAGAACTGAAAACTGGATAAGA